TTTTTTCTTTTCTTTTTCTTTTTTCTTTTTCTTTTTCTTTTTCTTTTTCTTTTTCTTTTTCTTTTTTCTTTTTCTTTTTCTTTTTCTTTTTCTTTTTCTTTTTCTTTTTCTTTTTCTTTTCCTTTTTTCTTTTTCTTTTTCTTTTTCTTTTTCTTTTTCTTTTTCTTTTTCTTTTTCTTTTTCTTTTTCTTTTTTTCTTTTTCTTTTCTTTTTCTTTTTCTTTTTCTTTTTCTTTTCTTTTTCTTTTTCTTTTTCTTTTTTCTTTTTCTTTTTCTTTTTCTTTTTCTTTTTCTTTTTCTTTTCTTTTCTTTTTCTTTTTTCTTTTTCTTTTTCTTTTTCTTTTTCTTTTTCTTTTCTTTTCTTTTCTTTTTCTTTTTCTTTATTTCTTTTTCTTTTTCTTTTCTTTTTTCTTTTTCTTTTTCTTTTTTCTTTTTCTTTTTCTTTTTCTTTTTCTTTTTCTTTTTCTTTTTCTTTTTCTTTTTCTTTTTCTTTTTCTTTTTCTTTTTCTTTTTCTTTTTCTTTTTCTTTTTCTTTTTCTTTTTCTTTTTCTTTTTCTTTTTCTTTTTCTTTTTCTTTTTCTTTTTCTTTTTCTTTTTCTTTTTCTTTTTCTTTTTCTTTTCTTTTTTCTTTTTCTTTTCTTTTTCTTTTTCTTTTTCTTTTTCTTTTTCCTTTTTTTCTTTTTCTATTTTCTTTTCTTTTTCTTTTTCTTTTTCTTTTTCTTTTTCTTTTTCTTTTTCTTTTTCTTTTCTTTTTCTTTTTCTTTTTCTTTTCTTTTTCTTAAATAGTGAGCAAAATCCCGGTAATATTAATTCTGTATCTTACAAAGTCAACCTGATTCTACACTGCTTAGCAAAGTTTTAGCTACTGGGCAATATTTATTTGTACCGAAAACCAATACAAATGCCCTGTAAACATGCCTCTGAAATTACTGGATCAATTGTAACATGTCCGAAGGATACTTCATAAATAAAGACGATTCTAATTACATATAGATCTCACCTAAATTTGTATTTGTCCAAAACTCAACAATTACTCGGTATATAATTTTATCCACGCTATATAACTCATGTCTCTCTGAATACCGTTTACAGTCATTGGTTATGGTTATTCAAATCGATATTATTAGCGAGTGCACCTGGTTCTTTTTTCTCATCTCGATATTCGAACTGGTTGAAACGTTGACCTCTGCGCGACGCCTACATCAAATTCAACATTTTTCGAAATTAGGTGTGTCTTTTATGGTAATTAATACTAGGTGTTACTTATTATCAGCAGCCACTCGATTTACTCCATTTTAGATTCATACATATTCACAGAGGTATAATGTGACATATCAATTTGGGTCTATTCAATTTCATTTTAATCCTAGATTGATTGTAATAAATTAGCATAGGTGTATGGATTCAAAAAAAAAAAACATAAGTAATTGAAGCATGAAATTGAGCTTATTATTAAAAGCGAGGACCACCATTCGTTGTTTAAATAAAAATTGTACACCCACTTTATTTAATTTAAGTAAATAATAATCAGTTGATTGACTCAATATTTTACCATTTTTCGTTTTTCTTTTAAACAAGTTATGGGAAAAATTAAAATACAAAATTATAGAAATGTAAGAGGGATAGATAGACAATAAATTGAAAGTCAGTCAGCATTTAATGGTTCGCAGATATTAAAAAAAAATCTGAAAAATCTAATTTTTTATTATTAAGTTTAGCGATATTATTACAAACGATATGAAAAAAGATAAAGGCAGTTTTTGTTGTAAAGAAAGTTCCTAATTCCCTGCTATACCAAAATTTTCATCACGATGTTTCGTAATTCCAGGACCACCTTCAACTCAATTGTTTTAAATAAGGACCTGTATTTTTGATAAAAAATTGTGTAATATAAAATATGTTACAGTTGATCATTTTACTACTGAAATTGTATATCTTGCGGTTTACGAAATCTCTGTAAACACAAATTAAATTCGGTTCACCCTGTATATAAACGTTTTGACATTTTGGTTCTTCAATATTGGAAGTTTTATTAAAGATTGGTTTTACTTTTTGGAAAATAAGAAAATTACCTTTTGTATGACAATTTTATTTTTGTTTATTGTGTCAAAATTACAAAATTCAAAAACTGACATTAGTATTACATATTCTAGTTAAACAAAATAACGTGCACATACAGAGTGATCTGACGTTACTCAGCTGCTTATCCAAAGTATACAAGTGAATTTACGCTCTACAGCTTCTATTAGGTACTGGAAGCGAGGATGTATATTTCTTACTGATGAGTCTTAATAAGTACAAAACCAGTACAAGAATAATAACGTTTTTCTTATTAGGGAGCGCAATCAAAGCAAGATGGTTAAAAATAATTGTCTGCTGTTTTCTTTGGAAATAATAAAATTCCTGTTGGGGTATTAGTCAAAGGAGCAGTATTATTTTGTCAAAACTGTTAAGATTTTGTTTTTCGTCTATTTTTTTCTATGAAAAGTTGGTAAAAAAAAAGTACAAAAATAAAATGAAGGGTCCACTGCAAAAACCATCAAGGTCCACTTTTGGTCTATTTTGAGATCTCAATGACATCTGCCGTTGATTAGGGAATAGTATCATGTGAGAAGAAGAAACAGTAAAAAACCATCACGGTTACTTTGAAAACGCATTTAAAAAGTAGGCCATACAATGCAATAAATATCAGAGTCCAAGCGGTTGTTGGAAAGAAACATCAGAGTCCACCAAGAGGCGATAGCATCTGGCTTCAAAGTTTTAGTTATCAGTTTGTTATTAGCAGTGTATAGGGTACTATCTGAGCCTTTCATTTTATTGATTCAACCGATAGTTTTTCTTTATTTAATATGAACAGTGATTATTCCGATAGTAGTGGTGTTGAAGAGGAGTGTCAGTCTCTCAAAACTACGAAAAAACGTAAGAAATCTGGCAATATGAGTCATGTTATGAAGAAGTTGCGAGCGTCTACACACGAATTGGGAGTAGACTGTAATTGCGTGAGATACCATTGTTTTCAAACTGTTACTCTCGAAAACAGGATGACAATAATAAGACAGTTTAACGAACTCGGGAACTACGATGATCAGAATAAATATTTAGGTGGCCTCATTGCAGTTTTGCCAGTACAACGTAGGCGTGGTCGAAAAGATGACAGTGATACTCGTTTCAATCATGCGTCATATGCGTATCGCGTTCGAGCAAATATAGATGGTGCTATTCAGGATATAAGGGTGTGTTATAAAGCTTTTATGGCTATTCACGGAGTCTCTGCAAGTAGGATACAACACATACGAGAGTCATTGGCATTCTTGGGAGAGGTAAGACCTGATCAGCGAGGAAAACATGGCAACCACTGGAATAAATTACCTGAAGAAACCACTGCCAAAATTGAAGAATTTCTGGCTTCACTGAAGGGTAGGAAGTCTCATTATTCCTTGCACGATAGTAAGAAAATATATTTACCTGAAGATTTGAACATAAAAAAATTGTTTGATATGTACACAGAAAAAAACGTAAACCACAAGGTATCTTATGAAAAATTCAGGAATATTTTTGAAACAAAGTTCAATATTGCGTTTGGGTATCCAAGAAAGGATACCTGTAGCACATGCGACGTGTTCAAGGTAGAGTTAACTGCTCTTGAAACTAAACTCACGAACTGCAGTGATGATAATGAGAGAAAGAATGTGGCTCAGAAACTTGAAGTTAAATCTAAGGAAAAGGTGCTCCATTTGAAAAAAGCTGAAAAATTTTACTCCCTTAAGAGGAAATTCAGAAAAAATGCGCAGAGGTCCCACGACATGGAAGCAATAGTTATTGATTTTCAAAAAAATTTGCCGTGTCCAAATATTTCAACTAACGATCTATATTATCGTAGACAACTAAACTTCATCAGTTTTACTATCCATGTGCTATCTAACTCAAAAGTTGTCTTTTACACTTATGACGAATCTGTGGCCAAAAAAGGAGCAGATGATGTATGCTCCATGCTCAACCATTTTTTACACGAAATTTTGTCCCCGGAAGTTCGAAACTTAGCGATTTTCTGTGATTCCTGCGCAGGACAAAATAAAAATTATACCCTCATTCGGTACTACCATCATATTGTTAGACAAACTAATCGTTTTGACAATATAAAGGTAATATTCCCAGTTAGAGGTCATAGTTACCTGGAGTGTGATAGAGACATGAGTCTTGTTAACCAAAAAACAATAACTGAGATGCCAGAAGATTGGAGAGAAGTTTTGAGAAACAGTAGGAAAAAATCGCCCCCATTTTTGGTAATAGATTGTTCTCAAGAAATAAGATTTGAAACATGGACTCAATACCTATCTACTCTTTATTGTCCGAAATGTCCATTTCCAACCAGACCAGTCCGCATTCTAAAATTTGAAGCAACCTCTAAGAATCTGGTTTTTTATAAAACGACATTTTATGGGTCATACTTAAGTGCTTCTATTACCCCACGAGCTATAAGAAAAAGAAAGCCAACTACTGGAAGTACATCATCTGCTAGGAATCAAGGCTCTGGGGAACTTTGAACCTTGTATGCTGGAAATGTTCCTATAAAAGCTGCAAAGTATCGAGATTTGCAGCATCTGAAGCAATTTCTGACAAATCCAAGTGCAAGGGATTTCTATGACAATCTAATTCCAGACGTGCAAAACAATGATGAAGACCCAGAGTATATCGACGACCCCCCAATTGACGATGAAGACTGATTTAAAAAACGTTTTTTCATAACTTTAAATTTAGCAAAACATTTTGTTTTTGTTCTTTTGGTAAATAAATGTTCTAAATATAATTATGTATTATTTTCTGAAACTTAAGTATTTGTACATTATCATTAGGGCACTTGAAATTTTGTTTTTGCTCTCCTGAAAAAATTTGTCCAATGGACCTTGATGGTTTTTGCAGTGGACCCTTCAAATTAAAAACTCTTTCCTTATGTATTATTTTTTATTTATACATAAATTCAAGACCAAAAATATACAAATGAAACATTATCAATATAGAAACTACAATATCTATTTTTTCTGTTTTCTTAAAACTTTTTCCATGCTGCTACTTATTTCCATTGCATTTATTTCTTCTTTTAAAGCCCCTATAAGCATTTCTTGATCATAAATCTGTAAAGAAATCGTACAAAAATCAATACAAGAACATGTTATATCTAAAAAAAATTTAACGTTTTCATATTTTTATGAAGGAGCGGAAGGAAGAACATTCGTTATTTTATTACAAAATTTATGTGTACATATTATTATACTTATTGGAAATATTTCAACTATAGAATCCAGAGCTCAAAGATTTAACCCAAATCACTTAGATAAAATATGTCTTCATTCTGAGTTCACCCTGTAACCTAGAATGGATATTATCTATTCTACGCCCAAGATGAAAAAATAAACCATTGCGTTCTCCTGAACGGATATAACTTCATATCCATTCTTGTAATGGATACTGAACAATTGTTAAACTTATTGTTAATATATTTTATGAAATTAATAAATATGATTAGGTAAAAATGAAGAATTGATCAATAATGCCAATTCATTCGATAATTGATTATATTTACAAGAAACTGTACATAAATTTTAATAAAACTACCTATCTTTATTTTTCTCTCAAAACCTAATCAAACAAACACTGATATTCGCCACGTCTTATGCTCTAACAAGTTCTGATTTGTTGGTTGTTTCATTCTCAGATAAATTAATAAATAGATATTCTACAGCTCTATCATGCAATATTTGTAACCAGCGTCTTCCACCCCTATGTAGCAGTGGTTACACGGCTTGATTGGATATTCGCTATTTTGGTTACGCTATTTGACTGGTTAGCAAAAAATTGACAGTAATAAAGTTAGTTATTTTATGGTTATTTTGTGCGGACATCGTTTATTTTGAGTTTGTTTCATACTTTAATTGAAAATTTCAGGTTTAATTAGTTTTGGTTCATTTAATTGCTTTAAAATGCAAATAAAGTGTGTTGTATGCTCAAGTTCTTCATAGGTAAGTAAACAAAAACCATTACCGTTGCATCACACTTTTTTCAGGAAGTAACCTAATTCAAAAAATCTGGCAACCAAGCAAGCGATTTTTACGAATAATTGTTGCCATCTATCACCACTTTAATTAATTAATAGTTTTTGTTATAAATATTATGGCGTGTAAATTCCGTCTTAAGCAATGCAACTATCAAAAACGCTTAATTTAACTTACCCTTCTTTCAGCAGAATCTAATAACTCTAGATACTTTCCCTCCAACATCCTAGCAGATGATATGCATTTATTCAGTTCAGCATTCAAGGCTGCATTGGTTTCTTTTAAATCTTTTTCTCTGGCAATGGTTTTCTGGGAGTTATTTTTCAAAATAGTTTTCACGTTGGTAGCCATTTCATCGATATTTTCTTCGCATTGAGTTTGAACCTGAAATAATATTAATACCTTTAATTGTTATTAAATTTACAAAAGGTTTTTATTTAGTCAAACGATTTGAGAGTTTTGTATAATTTGTATAAATATTTTTTTCATGACTAACCTCTTCCAAAGCAATTATGCTGTATGCAATAATTTCAGCTAGAAAACATTTAAATCTTCTATTAGAATTGTCTTTAATATTTGACAAAGCTTCGTGCAACAGCTTGTTAACATTACTATTTGCAGCTGAAACTACTTCCTCGATGTTTTTAACAGCTTCATCAGTATCAGCTTCCACCGATTCTTTATTAATATCTTTCTTTTCTTCACTAGTTATATTCATGAACTTCTGTTGTAGTTTTTTTACTTCATCTAGATCAGTTTTAAAAATTTCGTATGAGAAAGTTGCAGTTGCGTTTTTAAACTGCTTTAATTCTTCTTTTCGAACGTTATAGACGTTTTTGGAGAAAATGTTATCTCTTAAAGTTTTCTTGACACCATTTGCAATTTTTTTGATTGGATTGTAGTCATGTGTAGAAATTAAAAATTGGTTCAGACGGTTATGTTTAATGCTTTCATTATTGTGCTGAAACAAAATAAATAAATAAAATTAAACAAATAATAGTGTGCAAAAGGAGTGTAAAACCATACTTTTCTCACAAGCTCAAAAGTATATGTAAGTATATACAGGGTATCCCATTAGTTCGTAATTGTTCAATATTTCAATTTGTGTTATTGACAAGCAAACAAGTTTTAATTAAAAGTTATATAGATTACAAAAATAGGTATTTTAAAATAATTTTTAAATATACAGGGTGTTGCGTTTTTGCCTGGCAAATAAAAACGTATATTTTTTAAATATTTTATTTCTGTTTTAGAATGGTTTGGTAATTCTGCATTTACCCTAGAACTTGATTAAAAAATATTACAGCGTTGCCAAACAATTATTTTTTTTATAAAACTAGAGAATAATGCAAACCTCAAATTAAATTATCATAATTTAATTATATTTACAATGATTTTAAAATTGTTTAAAATACAGACTTATAAGATACTAAGCTAACGAATAGTGCTAGAAGTGGGTTAATTTATAGAGAGTGTTTTGAAACAGGTCTTAAATATGGCTAATTTTAAGTTCAATTAATTCAATATTATCAAATACAGCACCCTACATATTTTTTGGTACAATATACCTTACAAATTTACCTATCCAACGATCCCAACAAGTTAGCCAATAACACATATACAGAGTGAACCATCAGTGCGTAATTGATTGATAGCTGTTTTATTAATGAAAATACGAAAAAAAAAAACTAATAACTATATTTAACAATTATTTTTAAATATATAAGGTGGTCCATAATCGAGAGTCTGCCCAAACCTATAAATTTTTAAACGGAAACACCCTGCAGGCAGTTATACATATTTTATTATTTTCACATGGTTAAATTCACTCATTTTGCTATGTATTATATAGGGTGTGTCAAAATGCGAGGTTACGATTTTCTTAATTTTTCTAAAGTATGTTATACCACCAATTAATTAATGTATAAATACCTGCAGGGTGTTTTGCTTTAAAAGAGTATAGGTTTGATCAACACCTCGTTTATGATTCACCCCATATATTGAATACTAATTGTTAAATATTGTATATTAATTTTTTTTTTGTATTTCCAATAATAAAACAGCTATCGATCAATTCGCACTGTTGATATCGTTGGATAGGCAAATTTATAGGGAATTGTATGCTAAAATAATATACAATGTGTTGTATTTGAAAAAATGGAGTAAACTTAACTTAAATTTAGCCATATGCAAGACATGTTTCAAAACACCCTGTATAAAATAAGCCACTTCTATTGGTCTCCAAAAACCTAGATAGTGAAAAAGTTTTTGTGTTAGCCACTAGAAAAAGCAGAAAAATATTGAAAACAAAACATGAAATGTTTTTGGATGGGACGTTCAAGTGTACAAGTAAACAGTTTTCGCAATTATATACAATTCATACGGATTTGGGAAGCACTGATAGTAAAATGTCAATAGTTGCTGTTATTTTCGCATTATTGCCTAACAAAAAATCTGATGTGTCCAACACATGACTTTCCTATCTAGTTATTATAGGCTTTTTCAGGTTATTTTGTACAACCTATTGCAGCATCTCTATAAATGTTTAGACGATAAAATAAATATATACATTGTCCACATACATCTACCTCGAAACATTTTTCTATAGATATTCGTTGAAAACGAAAATACTGAAAAATTTAAATTTCCAACAATTTTTTTATTACGGTCCATTTTAGAAAAATCATGTATAAACAAAAATTATAGAGATCGATATCGCAAACAACTTTTATTTCAACAATTTTTATAAAAATCAGAATTTTGCACATTTTGTCAAATTTCTCGAATACGGACCATTTCAGGAAATTTTGACATAAAACAAAAATTATAGATAATAATATTAGAAATAACTTTTATTTGAACAATTTTTTTCTCCAAACATAAATAACAGATATTTTCCATAAAATATAAAAACGGCCCCCATAAAGTACCTCTCATTAAGTACCCCCCCAGATGTTCCGACTTTGTCCAAAATCTAATCATTTCACGTCAGGCCGAAATAAAACTTTAAAATTTAATGTTTTTTTCTTTATCCGTTTTTGAGTTTTCTTCAAATTTCGAGATTTACACATTTTCTCAAATACCTCGAATACGGTCCATTTTAGAGAAATTATGTATAGGATAAAAATTGTAGAGAATTATATTAAAAACAACTTTTGATTGAACAATTTTTATAAAAAAATATTTTTTTACATTTTGTCAAATTTCTCGAATACGGACCATTTTAGGAAAATTTTGTATAGAAAAAAAATTATAGATAATAATATAAGAAGTAACTTTTATTTAAAGAATTTTCTTCCCCAAACGTAAATAACAGATATATTCCATAAAATATAAAAATTACCACTTATAAAGTACCCCCCAGATATTCCGACACTGCCCAAAATCTAACCAGCACATTGGACGCTGGAACAAAGCTTAAAATTGAAATTTGGTGTTTTTCTGTGTATCGGTTCATGAGTTATGCGACACACAGACACACACACACACACACACACACACACACACACACACACACACACACACACACACAGACATCATCACGAAAATAGTCAAAACGGATTCAGGGGACCTCAAAACGTAAAAATCCGTCGAAAACTCGAGGTCGAAAAAAATCATGATTCCTATACTTTCCTTATATCTGTATACAGATAGGAAAGTAAAAAGGAATGTCCACCTTTAAGTGTGAATATCTCGAAAGCCAATGACTATGAATTCCCAACAATTATTAAAAAAATACAAAAAAAGTAAAAGTATAGTCCAAATTAGTTTTTGGACAGTGGCGTAAAATTGAGATGGGATAAAGGTGTTACTTATCCACACCGTACGCCACTGGTAGAGTTTATTTAACTAATTGTTTTGTTGATAGGTGTATCATCTTATAATACTAAATATGCTTACCAAATTTAGTGTAATGAGAAATAAAAAAATCGCAATATTTTTAACTAAAAACTCTGCAGTGTACCATTAAATACCTACACACAAAGTAAAACAAAAAAAATGGGATTTAAGCTGTTTTAAAAATTATAAATTGTTTTTATTTGTTCCAATATTTTTTTTTATTATATTAGCTGCTCCAGATGTAAAAATATAACCAAAATCGCCATTTATTTTTCAATAAAATTACACTTTTATTATTTCAATCCAAAAAATCTTACCATTTTACTTTTGTAATTGTAAATATCCGTAGTTTCTTTCCGCTGTATACCCCTCTTCAACGTTTTCTCATAATCCTTTTCCATTTTTCCAACAGAATGTTTTGATTCCAATGACTCCAAACTATCTTTAATATAATTTGGGTTTATTACAGACTTCTTTTGTTTTTCCGCACTACCTGTTCTTCTATTTTTGCTGTCATTTGGACTTTTTATTGTTTCCGAACTCGATATCAAAGATCGTTCTGAGTAAGGAAAACGTTTAGATTTTGAAAACATATTTCTGGTAAAAACCTTTTTCACACTGCGACCGATAACTTGACACTGACGCTAAACTAAAGTTAAATTTTAATATTTTTAGATCATGAGTAAATTATAAAATCTAGGGGTAATCTAAGTACTGTTAAAATATAGTTATAGTAATCCGTCAACTCAGGTAGTCATAAATAGGGATGAAATGTATTCAATAAGTAATTAGCCCTTCTGAATCGGTTTAAACTAGTTGCAATAATCTATAAAGACCCCTACTTAAAAACGTAGCAGATTAAATATTTCCCAGCATATCTTAAATTGGTATAATTATTTATAAATTGCTTTAATATTCTAGGTAAATAGGTAACAGTTTGGTACAACATTAAATAAAAGTTAATCATATTTTACATTTCAAAACAACTACAAAAATAATAATATATATTCATAAACATTTGAGAACTGCTTCGGTTGTTCAATTTTTGGTTTTTACTTTACAATAAAATGCTAAATAACGCGGTACTTTGAATTAGGCATATATAAGTAAAGATGCCGTTAATATTTACAATTTATATAGTTGATAAGGCACTTACATATATAGTTCAAATGCTCAAACTATCTTCAATAAGAGATTCTACTCGAGATGACTGCTCCTGCCTGATGAGCCCCAAATAGGAGCGACAGAGTCAGTTGTGAAAATATTATTTAACGTACATTATTTGAGCATATGATAGGCCTGAAAGTAGTTATTTGTAAGGCAGTCGGATAATTCCCGATTCGGACTGAAGATTTGGTGTCAACCATCCTGTATTTTTGTACCTATTGCTATTAATTAAGTGTCCAATTCAAATAATTTTTTAAATTTTAAAAAAAGCAAAAGAAAAGTTAAAATATAAATTTCAGGAAGAAAATGATAAAATTTGTTGCTCTATACAGGGTGTCCCTAAATTAGACGGTCATACAGCGTAATCTTCATCCTAAAATAGAAGTAAAAGTTCATATAAACATAAGTCCGAAAACGTTTCGTTTTTGAGATACAGGGTGTTACAAGTGAAGTCCTGATGGCACATTTTTGTAAATATTTTCTAAAATTTCTTTAGTCACCGGATTTCCAAAGTTAAAAAAAATTAAATTTCCAATTCCACAGGCCTACTAATGATTGTTTACACTTTTGAATAAGATAACATCAACTTATGAAATTTTCAAATGCTTTTCTTTTGAAAATGGTGCGTCCTAGCGACATACAACGAAAGTAGCTTTATTATAAAGAAAATATTGGTTTTTCCAAATTTTGTAGTTAAAAATGTTAAATTGTCGTTTATTCCTTTAAATAGAGCGCAAAAAGTTTAGCGTTTGTACCAAATTTCACTTAGTTATCTTTAAAAGTCTACAAAATATTTACAAAAATGTGTCATCAGGACTTCACTTTTAACACCCTGTATCTCAGAAATAAAACGTTTTCAGACCTACGTTTATATAAACTTTTACTCCTATTTTGGGATTTAGATTACGCTGTTAAAACATGACCGTCTAATTTGGGGACACCCTGTATATGTTTGACAGGTGTTTTTATAACTTTCGTGACTTCATTCTGATTTTGTCCGTCTAATAGTCGGGACAA